ATTGCTAACAATGCAAAGTACCTTTCGATTCTTTTAATATCACTTTTATTTCAATAAATACGTAAAAATATACACACGGTGTGTGCACAGTGTCTGTTTTTTTCAGCTGTTAAACCTTCATTTTTAATTATTATTATCGAGGCTTTCGGGTGTAAGCTGTGTCCTTATGGGAAACAGTACTCTATTCCTCAATAATAATAATTATTAATATTTTATACGTACATATATGTGCATTATATCTTTTTTTTTTCAGCTGTTAAACTTTCATTTTTGCTTTTATTAATCCAAGAAAAAACGAGTTTGTTACAGATTCGCGAAAACTGAGGAAATTATTGGAAGAAAAGAAGTAAACGATGCCCATATCGTGACTTGTAAAATCTAACTACTAAATTTGTTCGAATTTGAGTTTGTTGCAGGTGACAGAGCAGCATACGAGCAATTCATCGTACCATACTGATATCTCTCTTCTTTCTCCTTTACATCCCTTTAGATTTTTAGAATAGGCAGGGTATAATATAGATTTCCAATTATGCAGGTTGTTCTTCAAACGAACGTGGAATTTTAATTAGCCACGTTATTTTCAACATTAAGTTGATTCTTGATAAGGCAGGACATTTTCATCGTTAAATTGATTCTTGATTAGGGAGGACATTTCCAATATTAAGTTGATTCTTGATAAGGCAGGACATTTTCATTATTAAGTTGATTCTTGATTAGGGAGGACATTTCCAACATTAAGTTGATTCTTGATAAGGCAGGACATTTTCAACGTTAAATTAAATTCCTTATTAAGTAGGTGATTCTTAATTTAAGTTAAATCATTAGACAGGAAGGCAATTTTATACATTAAGCTAAATTCCTAGCCAGGCAGGCGACTCTTAATTTAAGTTAAATCTTTAGACAGGCAGGCGTTTGTCTACATTAATTGTAAGTTAGATTCTTAGTCAGGTAGGCGATTCTTAATTTAAGTTAAACCTTTAGACAGGCAGGCAATATTCTTACATTAAGTTAGATTCTTAGTCAGGTAGGCGATTTTTAAGTTAAGTAAGAATTTTATTTAAGCAGGATAATATTTAAGATTTTTCATTTGAAGGCAAGTTTTTTCATGAAAATTCAGTGCTCGAGTTCATGTTGTTGTTTAAGGCGGTAGCTCTCAGTTTGTAAACATTGTAATTTTCTTTTCCTTTCGTTAGTTATCTGTAAAGAACTTTGAACAGAAACGCCTGATGCTTTTTTCCGAGACAGCGTTGTTGTGCAATAAAAAACAGCCTCAACTGTTGTGTTCTTTTTCTGTGGGACGTGTTTGTTTATATTTTCTTCTTTTGTATTTCAAAACATTTCACGAGTCAGATTCCTCTTTCACATATTCTTCTGTAGCGATAAAAATACAGAGTGAAGTAACGTTTCAGACAGGTTTAAGTTAACTCCTAGTTTAAGCAAAGTGTGAATGAACTTATACTGTAAGCTAAGCGTAAGATAAGTTAAGCTAAACTTAAAGTACTTTAAGTTTAAATTAATAGGATACCTTTTTTGTATTTTTTTTCTTTCTTTCTCGTCGACTTTTTTTTTAACTTAGAATTCTCTCAGTCCTCTGCTATTGTCCGTCTGCATAGCGATCGAGAATTCGAACGTATTGCAAATGTACAATCAGCAAGAGGTGTTGCGTTGCGTTAATTAATAGGAAAGTTATGGTAGGCGCGTAAAAGGAGGGTGGATGGGACCGTGTGGTTAGGGCGGGCCTCCATTCGCAGCAACCTCCACGTGGTGAGGCCCGGGCAATCGATATTATTTGATATATAATTACGATTGTATAGCAAATAATTCGAGCAAATCGGCTGCGATATTGAAAGATGTTAGTTCAGTCGAATAACTGGTATCGATACCTAACGTCAGATTTACACTGTACATAACCACTTCATTCTCCCGTCCGTAATTAAAGTCAGTCCCTAATTATTGAATAAATAATTAAAAGTTTAATTATTTTCTTTAATTTTCCATATGTTGCTTTATCCTTTCTACTATGGCAGAAACGTGTGTCACAGCGTTATATATAGTGGTAAACTTATTTCTATTCGCTTAGGATATAATTAAGAGAAAAAAAGATTGGTCAGTTTTGGTACATCAAGTTGAGAGAAATGTGAGCGTTAAGGGGTTAAAGGTGAATTATAATAAATGTATTTAGTAGTAGGTTGAAAAGTCGTCTATAGTTTTATACACACAATCCAATGTATGCGTGTATGTATTTTTATATGTAGATTTAACGAAAGAGGATTTTTTGCATCTGTCAATTTTAATAAGCAATTAGGATACTCCCTTCTTTCGTTCTAATTCCAGTCACTACTGGTGTTGCGATCTTATTCTATGCTGAGTCGGTAACGTTGGGAGTGACTCGAAAACGGTAAGGGTCTTCTCAGCCTCCACAGTACTGGGGACACAAAGTTCCATAAGATGTTAGATCTATCTCGTACCAATAATGTTAACTTTCAGCAAAATATGTAATTAATTGTAATATTGCTGGAATAAAAAATGTTGTTTTATTTGATGTAAATAAACATTACGTAAACTGTACTGAGATTATTCTCATGGCAATGAAATTGAATAAATGTATGAGTAGTTGCGAAAGTGATTATCTGTATTTCATGAATATGAATGTGATTGGTAATGTAAATATTATAATCGACTTCACTACGATTTCGTAATTTGTATTTTGTTGAAGGGACAAAGGAAACACGAGGAGGTATTAACATATCTTATTGGCTCTTTATTGGTGACACGTATAATACACGTGCTAGACATATTTTTTTTCATAACAAAAATAATTACAATTAGAAATCGCACAAAAATGCTTCGTATCAAACTGATATAAACGACAGTCCACGTTCATGCGTTTCTACATTTACACAATTTGTTATTCCAATTATTCTTGTTTCAATCTGTGTGAACTGTATTTATGAAAAGTGTTCGATAAAAAATGTTACAATTCATTAGTATATGTAAATTTCAAAATTCTTTTATTACATCTGAATGATAAAATTTGTACGATTTACCTTTTTTTTTTTTCGCATACAATTGTTACGTAAGTGCTGACATCTTCGGTACAATCTTCCAGTTTGTTAATATTAAAGTAATCAAATTTTTTGTTTCACTTTCGTTTCCTATCTTATTACACGGTAACCTTGAAATAAACATTTCACTGAATATGACATATCAAATGTTAGTACACAAAATTTCAAAGTGGTACATTTCTTATTCAACGTATGAACGAAACGAGAACTTGGAATTATTGTATCTCTTATAAATATCAATTCACAATAGAGGTCATTCGATCATTTTGAGACACTATATTCTTTTTTTTTTTCTTTTTTCGTGTAAGCAATTATATCGTACAAGTGTAATATTAACTTTATGGAAAACTGTGTTTTCCAGAGGCATTTCTGTGATATAGTTCAGCTCGGTTACAATAACAATGATATTGCGTAAATAAGAAGACGAAGATGTGAGATAATTTCCCTTATCTTAGACATCGACTATTACCATCTATGGTAAATACATTCCTTCGAGTTTAATTGACGATCGGTAAATATTAGGATTATAGTTATCATGGGATGGTATACAAATCGAAATCACATTCATATCAGGTAAGATTTTGGGGTTGCGGAGAGGGACAATACGATTCTGTTATTCTAGTTAACCTTGATAGTCTTTTTTGATCCAGTATTTAATTCTATGTACTATTCATTTCTATAGGAGAATACAGAAAGCGTAGTGTGACACATTAAGCAAACGCTTATCGGATTATTTTACTTGCATTGATATTAAAGTCGACGACTTTGACGAATGAGCTATTTTAGGTTAGGAAGTAGTACGTTAATAAACATCAAAAAGGACTACAAGTGCACTTGCCCATTATGTATATCTCATAATTGGTACTCATAGTTCTCTCGTCCACAAACGAGACGTATATAATTTTTGCAATACTCGATACGATATTAAAAAACAATTTTACGTTCTTTACTATAATTCTGGCAGTGAACAGCTCTTATACAAAGTATCCTACTTATTGCAAATCGTATAAATGTATCTGTACAATTTTAAACAGTCCTCGAAATAAATAGTTTAACTCGAGTTTCATCGATTTTATAATTTAGTTCGCTATAATCAGATTCATATGTGTCACATTTCCTATGAACGTACAAATTTCGTTTGCATTCATGCTACAGTAATAATAATAATAATAAATAAGTGTATATACCTTTTATAAATCTCTTATAAATTAACCTATGAATAAAACAGTTCTTTCCTCGCTACAATTACAAACGACCTATATTAAAGAGTAAAAATGCTAAATAAATACCCCTGTATTTAATTTACATCGTAGTTCCATCCACCTGTTCTAGGAAAGAAATATAAACAAAAATTAATAAAAGAATCCAT